TATCCCCAACCTAAACAGTGGCTCTGCATGTTCTGTGTTTTCATGACTGCAAAGGTTGTCATCTTCATGAAGTCTCCTGTGCACTGTGACTCAACCATGGGTCACATAACAGCCCTGTTTTACTTAGAAATTATGTCACATGTTTTATATGCCACGTGCCCTCCAATCATTTTTTATTAGTCTGTACAACACACCAAACTAGTATTCTTGAAGACTGCTGTTTCTCTTTAACAGACATGAAGAGGTCTGCTTCCTGGTTTGACTAAGGTCATACCTCAGGTTTCTTTAGATCAGAAGCAGAGAGAAAGAGTTGAGAGAGGCTGCCACACAGCAGGGTCCTAGTCCCTCTCTAATCCAAGAGATGCCAAGTTGAGCAGAATGTGCACGCATTTTGTTTAAATCTGGTCTTCCTGCAGCATGTGACTGCATGTGAAGATATACCTTTGTCACTCCTAAAAAGAATCTCCCAAGCCCGACAGGGTGGCACATGCCTTTAATCCCAGCACTCAGGAGGCAGAGGCAGGCCGGATCTCTGCAAATTCAAGGCCAGCCTGGTCTACATAGTGAGTTCCAGGACAGCTGGGGCTACAGGGAGACCCTGTCTCAAAAGGACAAAAAAATAAAATAAAATAATCTCCAATAATCTTTCCCATTTAAATGAAAGACAAGGGAAGGCTGGACCCCTGGTTAATGCTTCTCTAGTACCTGCTAATGTCATTCCAAATCCTGAGCTGTACATAATAGAAAGCACAGATGGGTAGGGCAAGACACCTCTGCTATCCCAGCACTTGGAAAGCTGAGGCAGGAAGATTACTAGTTCAAGACCAGCCTGGCTACAAAGTTAAGACTCTATCTCAAAAAACCTGAAAGAAAGAAGGTATGGGTGGGCTAGCTGGCTATGGAACTTAAACCACAAATGTGATGTAATATAATTTCCCCCAGAACTTTCAAGTGCCTCTTCACAAACTGACTCTTTTCTGTTTAACCTCATATTACAGCCAACAATGGAACATGACTGGTATGTATGACCAGTGGCTAGGTACCAGGGAAGCTCATTTACCTATGATCCAATGGGATTCTCACAGCCATGAAGGCACATGATATATATGAGCATGTTTAGTGTCCAGTAGGGCCCACTGGTAACAAGGCTATCTATTTTATAAGCATTCATTTAAGATGATTCTGTAACAGATATTCAAGAGCAGCTACAGATAAGAAATGGGGGAGGGTAGCTAGAGGAGATGGCTATGTGGGTAAGAGCATGTTCTAGCTTGTTTTTTCACTGCTGTGACAAAACACTCTGACCACTACCAACTTGGGGAGGAAAGAGTTTATTTAGCTTACATCTCCTGGGTCACAGTTCATCGGGGAGCCCCAGGTAGGAACTCAGGACAAGAACCTGGAGGCAGGAGCTGGAGCACAGACCATGGAGGATCACAGCTTACCGACTTGCTCCCCTGCCCCCTGCTCAGTCTGCTTTCTTATATAACACAGGCCCACCTGCCCAGGGGTGGCACCACCCACAGTGGGCTAGGCCCTCCCACATCACTCAACAATCAAGAAGATGCCCCACAGACATGGCCACAGGCCAGTCCTATGGAGGCAATTCCCCAATTGAGGCTCCCTCAACCCAGGTGTGCCAAGTTGACACTAAAGCTATCTAGCACAGAGCACTTGCAATGCAAATATAAGGACCTGAAGACCCGAGTTAGAATTCCTATACCATGTAAAGTTGGACATGGCTGAGTGTGCCTGCATAACCCCCAGAACTGGGAGGTGGAGACAGGCAGATCCTAAGAGCTGCTCAACTGGCTGGCCAGCCTAACCAAAACAGAAAGATTTTGATTCAGTGAGAGACCCTAACTCAAGGCAATGGAGGACAACATCGAATGTCTTCCTCTTGCCTTCGCATACGTGAGCATGGGCACATGCACTCACAGATACATGCATGTACCACACTCCTGCACATACACAAACACACACACACACACACACACACACACACACAAAATCACACAAATGTAGGAAGGGGAAGAAGGAGCTTTTCCTGAAAGGAAATGCCTTTCTTTGGCTTCAGTATATCTGAGAGTCTTGGTTTCCTGGCAAGCTTACTTGACACATTGCTTATAGCAGACAGAGCCAGGCAGGTGTGCTCTGGGTTTCAGGCCAAGGGTGTGGGTACCACTCTTCCCCAGAAGCCACTCCACAAGGGAGAAAACATTGGCGTCAACTTGGCACACTAAATCTAAGTAATAATGAACCCCTCTCTCTGCCTACAGTCTATTCCCTACTAGTACAGGTTTAAATAGGAGCGAAAACAAAAATAAAAAAACTCACAAAAAAAACAACCAACCAACCAACCAATAAAAAACTCTGAAGACAGGGGTGGTAGGAGAGAAAAGGATTCTTTGCAAATGGGAGGGGAAAGAAAACAACAGCTTCAACTTTCTCATTCTAGTCTGAGCCCACATTATAAACAGATACATTTTCCACATTGGAGAATAATAATCCCTTTATCCAGCCAGTTTTGAACCTGATAATTGATTTCAGACCTTGGGTGGAAAGTAGGGAAGGTGTGGGTAGATGGAAAATGGGGTGGGGAATGGAAGGAGGGAGGTGTGGAGCCAACAAAAAGGAGTGTAGAGGCGGCTGAGATGGCTTAATGAAACCAAAGGGACTAAAGACTTCCAATGCTGTGCTACTAACATACTAGGGCAGCTTCCCCAAACAAAGCCTGAAAGAAGCAGGCTGCAGTAGTATCCCAGGCACCAGTCCAGGTTCTGCTCCTGGACTTGTCATTAGCTCTAAGACTTCAGACAAGTGTACAAGCTCTGAAGTCTGGCTTGACGGACAAGTCCATGCTTCCTTCTGGCTCTGACAGCTGTTCCATTCATGCACACACCTTCTGGGCACCATTTGTTGTGAGCTAGCTGCAGGAAGAGGAGTCACCGAACTTCTGTAAGAGCCAAATATTTTGTCTCTCTGAGGCAGGGTCTCATACTGTAGCCCAGGCTGGCCTTGAACTCAGCAATTTCCCTAAGCCTCCTAAATGCTGGGATTATAGCAAAATAGCCAAACACTTTGGGCTTGGCAAGCCACTGATCTTTACTACACCTATTTAACTTTGCTACTATAGCACAAAAGTAGCCATAAATAAGATATTCAAGAATGAGTTTACTGCATTCTAAGTTTAACTTAGTGGGCACTGAAATTTGAATTTCATATAATTTCTACATGTCATGAAATATTTTTTCTGTATTTTTTGTTTTTCCAAGCTGTTAAAAATATAAATAAGCTGGCTGCGGTGGCACACACCTTTAATCCTTGTACTTGGGAGGCAGAGGCAGTAGATTTCTGTGAGACTGCGGCTAGCCTGGTCTACATAGCAAGTTCCAGACCAGCTGGAGCTACAGGGAGACCCTGTCTCAAAAACACCAACCAACTAACCAAACACTATATATCATACAGGTTATACAAAAGCAAGTAGCAAGCCAGGCATGGTGGCACATGCCTATATTCCAGCACTGAGGTGGAATCAGGAGCAAAGGGGAGTGTGGGGAGACCCGATGAGAACACAAACAGGCAACATTTAGCATGGTGGCCATAGTTTGCTAACTTTTGCTCCAGAGTTAAGTTTTAACTCTGTGTTTCTGTAACTACTACTTCTAGAGGCCTGGTGTAGTCTGGTCTTGATTTCCTTTTATACAAGCATGATCCCATACTATGTGGTCTCAACCATCAATAGTCCCAGGGGTTGTGCTGGGGCTCCTCATGCCTAGGAAGGAAAGATTTGAAAAAAGTGGAAGGAGAGGAAATAGAAAAAGAGTAAGTACATACATGGTGGGGAAGGCTGTGCTAGAACAACATAGTAATTGTTTCTCCCAATAATTCAGAAGATTAACAAAATTATCAGTATGCATTGGTTAAGTGGGTAGAAGAAATGATAGGTAATGAAAGCAATAGACCTGAGCTATAAACCCCACAGCATAATACTCTTTATCACCACCAAAGTCCTCTTCCAGAAGAGTTCTGAAGTCTTCACCAGAACATGTCCAAAAAAAAGTGCCATTTAGGTCTTTCTAAAGAAGCTGGCAGGGAACCATTACTGCTGAGCTTCAATGTTCTCCTACCTAGTCTAAGATATATAGAGAGGTTCCAGCATATCACCTAGTAGCCTACTGGCTGCATTCAAGTATGCCCTTGCTGGAAAGAATGCCAGGTCTGGAGGACCACACAAAGAGAAGTGAGAAGGGACCTCAGAGAATTGCGGAAGGCAACAAGGTCAACAAACTCCAAAACAGTTCACTGTTGCACTCCAGCATCTGTTAGGGACCTTACAGCTTACCACCCTCAACCAAAAAGTTCTCAGAATCATAAAAGTACAGAATGAGGAGCTAGCAGTGACCTTCACAGTCATATAGGTCAACCCCTTCATTTAACACATGAAGAAACTAGGCTATAGGATAATTAAGTGACTTGTCCAAAATTACAATACTTGTGGTCAATTACCAGGCCCTATTTTCACTAAGACACAATGCCTTACCTATGCAGCTATTCTGAGAAGCATATAAAAATAAGAAATAAACCATAAGAGTCAGATATCATTAAGTGTTTACTATGCGACATCAGTACCTTCACAACCCCCTGTGAGGTGGGGTAGTGTTATTACCCAACTCTGCTGCTGAGGAAGCTAGAAGCTCACAGCAACAGAGCAACTTAGTCAGGGCCATAACAATAGTAGGAATGGGCTCTCAAACACAGTCTGATTCCAAAGTCTACTCCCTTCCCTCTACATCATGCCCTTGATCCTAGACCCCTGTCCTGCCTGGGGATACTGACAGCTGAAGAGAGATAATGTAATCACCAGTAGGTTCTCCCACCGTTCTCTACTGTGGCCTCACTGGGCCCCAGAATGACAAAAGGAGAGTCCCCTACTCCAGGCTCCAGAGAAATACAAGTATGAAGTCTTCCCCTCCCACACACAGAAAACAGGGACTTACCAGAGGCTAACCCGTCTCCCAGCAGGATGCTAAGGATCACCAGTTGAAGAAACAATCCATGTCCCACCGAGGCCACGGCAAACGCTGAGCTGCTCTTTGGTACTATCCTGCCATGGCACATCTTTTATCCGTCCAAGTTTTTTTTTTGTTTTTTGGTTTTTTTTTTTTTTAAAAAGAAAGACTAAAATCCAGAAGTAAGAATTCTAAAGCCAGCCCGGAGTAGATTCACCTATAACAAACAAACAAAAAAAGGACTTGAATAAAATGAAACTTTCAGCTATAAGTTAGTTAGAAGCAAACACTTCGGAAATCATAATCACATACAAAGCTGAAAGAATTCTAGCAACTGAATCCTTGCTGCCAAGAGAAGAAACAAGTACAGAAGTGGCTTTTCAACTCTTCCTGGAGAACTGCCCAAGTTCGATGCCAGCTGTTGTCAAAATCCAGTCCAGGAGCCAGACCCTTATGAAGGGCCAGGGAATTGCTCCAGCTCACCTGAATGTTACCTGGATGTCATTTGGATGGTTGGTCAGGTCAATGTGGCTTTCAGAAACTGCCTGCTCTGCCAGGACCATTGGCCTCGGGGGCTCCAGCAGAGAGGCAGCTGTTGACACAGAGCTGACACGTCTGAGTCAGGCTCTGTGTTTGCCACTTGGAGGCAAAGCAACTTCAATTAACCAAAAGGAAAAAGAGAGCCAGCATATGTCTTAAAGGGAAAAACACACCGCCTAGAAAAGGAATGCAGCAGCAGGAGCCAAAGGCCCACATGGAGGCCTGCCTGACCAACCTGTCAGAAACTGAGGAACCCCTGAGGATATGACTCCACAGCCATGAATCTCAAAAATGGGCTAATTAATCAAGGCCCAGCCAACACACCTGTGACCAGAGAGGTGCCATTCTGTTGACTGTCCTTGACAATGATGGGGGTGTGGAGGACAGGCTTCAGTTGCTAATTGGCCCTACCACCCACTTTGGTTCAGACTAACTTCTGAAGAGTAAAAACCAGTAACATACAAAAATAAAACCTATCAATGGTCAAGACTTTAAGGATTATTTTCTATATGCCTTTAGAAAAGACTGAGTTGATGGCACATAATAATATGAGCCTACTTATTTGATTTACATTCTAGTTTATATCAAGTATTCCAAATACCATCATACTTCCTTTATAAAAAAATTCTATACATTCCTGGAGGCTGGAGAGATGGCTCAGCAGTTAAGAGCACTTCCTGCTCTTACAGAAGACCCAGGTTCAATTCCCAGCACACACATGGCCACACATTACAACCACCCATAACTCCAGTTCCTGGGAATCAGACATCCTCTTCTGGTCTCCATGTGCACCAGGTATACACAAGGTACATATACACATGGTAAATAAATTTGAAGATTAAAACAATTCTACACTCTCCCTTCTCCATTTTTAAGGTTTTACATGCACAGATTAGGAGGCCTGCCATCTATAACCCTAATAAAGGATTTTCCTGAGTCTTGGCAAGAGATATTAGTCAGATATAACTATTTCGTGTTGTGCAATGCTGTAGAGGTCAGCAAGAGGGCACTGGATTCCTCTGGAACTGGAGTTAAGGACGGTTCGTAGTTGCCATGTGGGTGCTGGGAATCGAACCCGGGTCCTCCTCAAGAGCAGTCAGTGCTCTTACCACTGAGATATAACTTTAATCTGTGTCTGAAGCTTTGACTCGGATACATGTCTCTCCAAGGGAAGGCAACTGCAAGCAGCAATATGAGTTCCCTTGGTCTGAAAGGAGGAGCAGTTATGAGAGTCTTCAGAAAGCATTAGCCACTGGTCTTCACCTCTTTCCCTCTGGTAATTTTGATACTACAGTCACAATTTGGTACTCAAGCTTTTGCCCAGACTCCAACTTGGGTCCTTAAAGCTAGAGACTGGGAATTTCATGGAGAAGTCTGTATGTTTGTATGTGTGGAATGTGTTCACATTTTTTTGGATGAAAATAGAAAGTATGAATGCCTCTTTTTCAAATCTCTACTCCACTGTGGATCTTGTGGCTAAATCACAGAACCTCTCAGCCTGTTTCCTCATTATGAAATAGCACTGACGTAAAGATTAGGCTCAGGCAAAGTGTCTGGTCCTATGTAAGCCCTCAGTAACTCCTGACTGCCATTGCTCTTACCATCATCAATAAGACTTGGGCAACAGGGACCTTTCAGCTGCTTCTCTTTGGCAGATGCCAAAAAATTCAAGGTCCAAAGAGGTTAAAGGATTTTCCCAGGGCTCCAGCTGGCTAATGACAGATTAACAATGGGCCCTGTGGTGCTGCTGCTTCAGATACCTACACACCAGGAAACTTATGAAGCAGTCATCATCCCCTCAAGGCAACAACTGGGAACCATCAAGAATGTCATCTGCATGTGCTCACACATCACAACATGCATGTGTACAGTGCATATTTAAGTGGTGAGTTGATGATGGCTATATAAGGTCGTACTTAGGTGTTCTGCAAAGGAGTATCAGGAGTTGGAATACTACACAGAAGAGCTCATGCTAGGCTGGGGTAGGGAGGGTATCATACACAAGTGAATCAGAGTGCTCCTGGCAGAAGTTGAGGGGAAAGCTAAACCAAGGAGCTGAAATTCTACCCTGAAAAGCAGACAGTACTGACAATGGTAATTAAGTAGGAAAACTCAAAAGACCAAATTCATTTTTAAAAGATTTATTTTACTATTTTAAATTATGTGTTTGAAGGGGTATGCACATGAGTGTAGCTACATGTGGAGGCCAGGATACTGTTGGCAGTTGTGAGTCACATGGCCTGGGTGCTGGAGAAGTAAACTCCAATCCTCTGGAAGAGCAGTATATGAGTTCTTAACAACTGAGCCATCTTTTCAGCCCCACAAGCCTTAAATTCATTTACAATCACTCTGGATGGGATTTTAAAAAATTGGTGAGAATAAAGACTAGATAATCTACATTTGGAAGGCTATTTGATAACATTTATTTAAAAAGTACATATTCTCTGACTGATTTATTCTAATTCTAGGTCTGTCCTCAGAAATCACATGGCGTGCAATGACATATGCATGTAGGGGTACTCACAGCACTGTTTAGAAAGTAAGCAAGATGAAAGTTCAAAATGGAGCTGGTTAAATCAGTTGTAGTTAAACTCAGTAAGAGCATCAAGGAGCTTAAAAAGACAAGGGAAAATCAACCTGTGCTAACATGAAACTGCTCCTAAAATTACTTGTACTTTCTAAATTATTTATTTAATAACTATAATTAGAAGAAGCATTTCATTAAAACAGCATTGAGATATTCAATAACAATTTCCAGAGCTAAGATGCATCTCTTTCAAAATTGGCTGTAAATTTTTAGGTTTATAGCTGAATCAATACAGTTATACAATACTGTACTCCATATAAACCCTATAACACATAAAATTAAATGAGGTTTTAAACTTGAAAAAAGATCTCCATTTCATTATTAAAATACACAGTTTCACACAGAAAAATTCATTTTTAATACAACTGACACTAAGATGCACATGTGTTTCTAATCTCTATATATCTTATAATTACTAGACACAGTCGGTTACTTTCTGAGCTCCTTGGCA